GGTGGGGGGGGGGGGGGGGAGGGGGGGCAGGACGCCTCCTTTTAGGGCAGCTTTCCTCCCCTCCCCCTTACATCGTGCGCGCGTGCGTATGTATATGCACACCCACACACCCACGGACAGGCGGACAGGCGGACTGGCAGACTGGCGGACTGGCGGACAGGCAGACTGGCAGACTGGCAGACTGGCAGACTGGCAGACTGGCAGACTGGCAGACTGGATCCTTCGGTGGCTGGGATTCGATCCCCAAGGGGCAAGCCCTCGATCCGACCAGCCGGCCCCGGTGGCCCGGGGGAGAGACACACTGACCAGGTCGCCCCTCCTTCTGGCCAATTCTCGCGCGCACAAGATCAGCACGTTGCTGCCTCTCGCTGTGTCGGGCCGTGTTTCGGGGCGCCCCGTAAATCGCGGGCCTGCCGGGGCCGGCTTCCTCCCGGGCCCGGGCGGCTGGCTGGGACCCACTCGCCTGGCGCTCCACGCCCATCGGCCCACAAAAGGGCCAGGGGAAGAGGGGCCTTTCGGGCGGCGGCGGCAACAGCGGCAGCGGGCCGAGTGGTTAACTGAACGCTAGTGTCTTGGGCGGGGCGGCGGGCGCTAAACTAACCGGCATGAATCACACTGCAATCCGTCATGCCGCGTGATTCCGTTGTATATTATCCGAGAATGTGAACGGCATTCCTGTCGTTGGCAGCGCGGCCACCGCCTGTTGGTCTCTGGGGATTCGGACCGGCGGCCAAATTCTCGACTGCGCCCCCTCGCCGCTTGCCCCACATATTCGGGCGCGCGCGCGCGCGCGCGCGCGCGCGGGGGTATCGCGCCCCTGAGTCCGAGGGGCAATCGCCCTGGGTCGGTCCCACAGCGCGAGTGTGAATCGGGTTGCTTGGCCAGAACGGCCAGGCCACGCGTTGTCTCGATGCCCTCGTGATCACATTTATGCACAACGATTTTGTCCCTCCCTGGCCAGCATCCATATCCGATACACTCACACACACACACAGGCACACACACACAGGCACACACACACATGGACAACCCAGACGCGTCCGCACGGCCGTGTTCCGGCCATGGCCGGTTTTCCGGCCCTTGGCCAGCTCTTGCCTCTGGTCCGCCGTTCGGTTTTATTTACCTTTTCCCTGGGCGGCCCTTCGGGCCCCCCGCCGGGAGAGGAAGAGGGAGAGAGAGAGCCCAGATGAAAATAGTGCGGTCGGCCCCCGGCTATCGGTTCCGTTGTTATTTTATTGTCGGCCCGGTGGTCGGCCTGCATGGCGCACACAGGGTTCGGCGGGAGGCGATCTCCCCCGCCCCCGCCCCCCGGGTGACCGGGGGGTGCTCGCCCTCGGCCCCCCCCCCCCCCCCCCCCCCACCCCCCTCCCTGGCTCCCCCCGGGGTCGAGGGCTTGACCGGAAAAGCAACTGCCCTGGCCCCTTTGCCCGGGGCCTGCCCCGGATCCAACACCGACTTGCCGCCGCCGCCGCCGTCGCCCCTCCGCTCCCCCTCCCGATGCCCGCCTCCTCGCCGAGCCTCATGCCGGCGCCGGTCGGCATGGCCGGGTCCGGACAGCCGGCCGCTGGCGGCGGCTTCCGCTGGCCTGCCCGCGTCGTTTGGACTCTCCTTTCCTTCGGCCTGTTCGCCCATGCGTACTTTGGCGGCGGCCTGTCCGGTCTCCGGTCGTCGCCAGGCAAGGGTGCTCCCGACTCGGCGGCCGCCACCGCCACCACTGCCAGTGACACCACTCCCTGGAGCCCGCTGCAGCGGGCACTCTCCTCGGCTGGCGCTGGTGCTGGCGAACAGATCGACACCATGCTCCAGTCCGTTCGCCAGAGCGCTGCCACCCTCTATGAGACGTCTTCCCTCTCTGGCCGGTCCAAGGTCCGCGGGAACCCCCGCGCCCGGGCGGCCATCCGCCACGCCGCCACCGCCACGGCGCAGACCGCCGAGGCCTCACCCCCCGGCTTCCTTGGCCCCGACATCTCGTGGGACGCCTTCCTCGGGGATGTGCGTCTGGCTTCGAAGCGTCTTCTCTCGCCGCGCAGCCTGCTGGCTGCCAACGAGGCCATGGGCTCCGGCAACCACAGCGCCTCCTCCGGCCACGAGGAGGAGGAGGAGGACATTGTACGTTGCGTGTTGTCTCTGCGTTATACCTCTCTCTCCCTCTCCCTCTCCTTCCCCGACCCCACGTATAGCCCGCTGCCAGGGCCCCCATGATGTTGGATGCCCGAGCTGACTTCCTGCTTCCGCGTGGCACCCTCCCTGCTATGGTCTTTGTGCCCACCCATCGACATACAGTGCGCTATGAAGTACATCTCCGAGCAGCCTGACCCCTGCGCCTTTGTCAAGGAGAACTGCCCGGCCGACTCGGTGATCGACTACTACGGCAACCACTTCTGCTGGTTCGGCTCGCCGGCGCTTTCCTGGCTATCGTACATCCTCCTGGTGCGTGACACCGATCGCCGATCGGCCTCTGCTTCTTTGCTCCTCTCCCCCCGCGCCCGATCATCTCAACTTGCCTGGTGCTGACCCGTCCCGCCCGCCACACGTTGCCCTCCCTGCTGGCAGATCATCTGGGTCGGTGTCATCTTTGTGGTGATCAGCTTCATTGCCGATGCTTTCGTGCTCAATCTTCGTGCGATGTCCCTGTTGCTGAAGCTGTCCGACAACATGGCCGGTGTATGTGTCGCACATGCCCCTTTTCTCCTGGCCTTTCTTGTCTCGTCCCTTTCTTCCCCCTCCCCCCTCCTCCTCTTTTTGATACTCACATGCCCCCTCCCCCAACTTTCCGGCTCTTCCCCCCGTCCCCTCCCAGGTCACCCTCCTGGCCGTCGGCAACGGCGCGCCGGATCTCTTCGGCTCCATCGCCTCGGTGACCTCGGACAACCCGAACTTGGCCCTGGGCCAGCTCCTCGGTACGCAATCTCTCCCCTGCCCCGGGCGTACTCCCTCCCAGCTCACCCTCTCCCCCCCCCCTTGCCTGCCTGCCTGCCTGCCTGCCTGCCTGCCTGCCTGCCTGCCTGCCTGCCTGCCTCGGCTCTCCCCTGTAGGCGGTGGCGTTTTCGTGACCACGGTCGTGGTTGCGGCCATCGGCATGCAGCAGTCTTTCCGTGTCAATCGCCGGCCCTTCGTTCGGGACATCCTCTTCTACACAGCCGCCGTCCTGTTCATGTTCTTCAATGTCGTATGTGCCTCCCCAGGAATATGCGGCTTCACCTTTCCTGCCTGATGTGTGCTTCTACTGGTTAGCCTGCTTGACTCACCCACCCGCTCGGCGTCGCGCTTCTTCTTCTTCTTCCTCTCTCTTTCTCTCTCCCCATCCCGCTTGCTCCCCCTTCTCCTAAAGCTTGTTGGTAGTATCTCCCTCTGGAAGTCCCTCCTGATGATTGGCTTCTACGTGGCCTACGTGATCACGGTCTTCGTGGGGCACTTCATCTATCGCCGCATGAAGGCCAAGCGTCTTGGTACGTCTCTCCCTGTCCTCTCTCTCCCCGGGCTAACGGCCAACCGCCTCTCTCCACCCTCTCTCTCTCGTTGGTGTCACATGAGCTTACCCAATGCCCCCCGTCCTCTCTCTCTCTCTCTCTCTCTCTCCCCTGCGTGCGTGTCTGCGCTTGTTTGGCTCTTCCAGCGGCCGCTCTCGACGCCGGTCTCGACCCGGACGAGACGTCCCACACCATCAACTCCACCGCCAGCGATAGCCCAGACCTGGAGGGGGACTCCCCCTCGCCAGCCCTCGAGTTCGGCGATGAGTATGCCGGCATCGATGATTCCGCCTCCAACATCCACTCGGTGGCCGTCAGCGCCGCGCAAAAGCAGGGCCGTACGTTGCCCGCCCTGGGTTCTTGCTCTGCTTCCTCTCCCCTCCCCCCGTTTTCTCTCCCTCCCTCCCTCACATCCCGACTTTCGCTCCGTTGTAGGTCTGCGCCCGCGTCGGCCCCTCTCCAAGGTATCGACCGAGGACAACACCGATGACGAGGGCAACTCGCCCGATGAGCATCTGGCTGGCTTCGCTTCCATTCCCCAGGATGGCCTTCTTTCCGACGGGGAGTACAACTTCAATGAGACGTCGGGGCTCCTGGCGGCAAACTCATCGCCCGTGTATGATGTTACTCCCCTGCTGGGGCCGGATCCGCCTGCCAGCAAGAAGCCCTCCATGGAGGAGGAGTTCAACCCGGAGGTGCGGGAGCCAGTCCTTCCCCCATGTCCCTGAGCGCGCCATGCCCCTGTCCCTTGTCGCGTCTGCCTGCTTACCGGATGTGCCCTTTGCCCTCTTTCTTTTCCCCCCTCCTTCCCCCTCTCCTGCTCAGACCCTTTCCATGACCGAGGCCCTCTTCCCGGTGGTGACTACCTGGGCCGAGTCCAGCCCGCTGGATCGCATTGTCAACATCATCGGCGCGCCATTTGTCTTTTTCATGCATGGCACCATCCCGCGCGTGGACCACGGCCGCGCGCTCAAGGGATGGAACAAGAACATGTCTGTCATCCACACCGTCACCGTGCCGCTGTGGATCGCCCTCTCGACTGGTGGTATGTAGCCTCTCGGCGTGGCACCGCTTCTCCCGCGTCCTTTTTCTCTCCCGCCTTTTGGGCGTGCTGCTGCTTCCCTCGGTGCTGCGTCCTCAATGCCGTGCGATTGACATCCTTCTCTATACGCCGCTCGGGCCGCTAAAGTTTTCAATACCTCGGTGTCGGGCGACTCGGAGTTCTCCGTTTGGATGTTGCTCACTTGCTTGGGCGCCTTGCTGGCTATCCCGATGCTGCTGTTCACCAAGTCCCGCATCGACCCGCCATTCTTCCCGGTACGCGCTGTGCCTGCCGCTAGTGGACTGCCCGCCTTGTGGTCCCCTGCTCCCCTCCCCTCCCCTCCCCCCCCCCTCCCTGGCGTTCCTTCTCTCTTGGTTGTTGATCTGGCCATTTGAACTGATCCATCTCGTTGGGTGCTCCTCTGCTGGTCTCAGTTCTTCTCCTTCGTCGGGTTTGCCTCTTCTGCTCTGTGGATTTACCTGATCAGTGGTGAGCTCATCGGCGCCCTGGCCACCCTTGGTCGCCTGTGCAACCTGTCGGACACCATCCTCGGCCTGACCATTTTGGCTTGGGGCAACAGTATCGGCGGTGCGTTTTCCCCCCTCCCCCCCCCCCCCCTTTGTGGCCCCCCCCCCACCCTCCCCCCCCCCCCCGCACCTCCCCCCCCCCCCTCCTCTACACTACCCCCCCCCTCCTTACCACCACCACCATTCCCCCTGCCCGTCTCCTCTGCCTGTGGCTCTGTCACCACCACAGATTTGATCGCCAACCCGGCCATCGCGCGCAAGGGCTTCCCCGCCATCGGCGTGAGCGCCTGCTTCGGTGGCCCCCTGCTGAACCTCCTGCTTGGGCTCGGCATTGCCTTCACCATCCGCCTGATGACCTACCCGGAGGCTGAGTACCCCCTGACCATCGACACCAACCTGTATGCCGCCTTCGCCGGGCTCCTCATGTCCCTGGTCATGTCGGGCATCGTGATCCCGGTGTGCGGCTGGCGCGCCGGCCGGAACTACGCCATTGTTCTGCTGGTTTTCTATCTGGCCTACCTGTCGACCAACATCGCCATCGAGTTTGCTTGAGCAGCTCCCGGCCCGACACACATGAGCCCGCTCTCCCCTCCCCTCATCCTCCCGGTCTGCGCGGTGGTCACTGCCCCATGGTGGGGACCCTTCGTCGGGGGTGGAGAGGACCCTGCTGCCGACCGGCCCGCCGGCGGGGCGCGGGACCGAACGGGGGCGGGAGGGGGGGGGGGGGCCTCATCCCTTGCCCTGGCCCTTTTTTTTCCAGCAACAATACAAAACAAATACCCCAGCTCCCAACGATCTAGCGGCTGAGCGCCCATCCGGTGGTGCACGTGGAGCTCTGTGGAGATGGCCTTTTGCCGAGTGCCGGCCGGCGATCTCCCCCCGTCTCGGTCCCTGGGCCCGCGCATCGGGGGGGG